CAGCAATGCTTCGCAAGCAACGATGATCAAAGACTTGAAGGCGCCTCAGATCTTTAGACCGAAGGGGCCAAGTCTCACTACCATAGAGCAGAACGGCCCTCACTGTGGCCTTGTATACACGGCCTTTCAGACGGAGGGAAACTCCCTTCTGTCGCCAAACATGCCGCAGGTTCAAGAAGGCAGCTCTGGCCTTTGCAATGCGTGAGCTGATGTCAGTTTCTATGCGCCCATCATTGCTGATGCAGCTGCATCAACCACCTCGAGTTCCTCGTTAGCAAGCGTCAATGGGTCATCAAGTGGCTGGTGGTCCTGCAGCAACACTTGGCACTTTGAAGGTGCGAAGTGCATACCAAATAATGGAACCACTCTGGATAGGCTATTCAGGGTTGACTGTGCCGCCCAAACATCATCGAAAAGCAAGACGATATCGTCCGCATAATCTAGATCAACTAACCTTTCACCAGGCAGCACTTCAAAGCCTACATCGTGAGATTCCGCAAGGGAACACTCCATGATAGAATCCACGAGGAAATTGAACAAAAATGAGGAAATCGGACAACCCTGACGAACGCCACTTGTAGTCGAAAAGCTATCCGATAGGCCACCGTAGACCCTGACGCGGCCTGTAGTGTTCGAGTATAGAATACGTAGGATGTTCACATATTTCGTGGGAACACCTTTCCGCGCAAGTTATTCGAACAGAATCGATCGATCGACTGAATGGAACGCACTCTTGAAATCGAGGAACACAGGTATTGTCGGTCTGCGGTATGCGTGGCGCTGCTCTAGCACCTGCCGCAAAGTGAATATATGGTCTATACAGCCACGTCCTCGGCGAAGACCGGCCTGCTCTTCCCTAATCCGAGATTCCCGTTCTGCAGTGAGGCGACGAACGATAATCGAGACCAGTAATTTTGTCACAACTGGCGTTAGGCTAATACCCCTGTGGTTCGCACAGTCTGTGCGACTGCCCTTCCTGTATATTGCCACTATAATCGATTCGCTCCAATTAGCTGAGACACTCTCTTCCTTCCAGATACGTTCGAATAAGGTCAGTGCTTTGCAGAGGACCTCACCTCCATCCTTAAATAGTGCAGGTGGGAGGGAATCCGAGCCAGTGGCACGAAAACGATTAAAGGTTGTGATCGCGTTTCGGACCTCGGCCTCCGACGGAGGCTCTAAACTAACCGTCCATGGCTCGTCCTGCATCACCTGAGTAGGAAGAGGTCCGGGAGCCGTGGGGCCAGCTGAACTGAGCTTCAAAGTGTTCAGCCCAACGAGCCATACGGCGCTCCTTATTGTGTATCAGCGCACCCGCGTTGTCTCTGATTGTCTCACTGACGCCTGGTTTTCTGGGACCAGTGGTGCGGATTAGCTGGAAGAGCTTGCGGTAATTGCCTACTGCTCCTGCCTCCTCCATTTCTTGAGCCTGAGTGGTCCACCAGGCTTCCTTGTCAGCACTTTGGCACTGCTTTAGTTCACGCCTAATAGCCCGTCTGGTCACATTGTGTTCAGAGCCTGCCGGGAGGTGTCTTCTAGATTCCAACAGGTTCACCGCCCTCTCGGATATCCAGTGATTGGTGCGGTGACGATGGATAGATAGTGCCACAAGCAGATGCTCCTGCGTCGTGCATGGCGACCGAGATCCTATTCCACTGAAGCTCAGTGTCGTTAGGACAAGACTGTGGAAGTTCAGTATGCAGTGCTTCTTGATAGGCGTGCCTGACCGAAAACTGAGACAATTTCTCAGTTGCCAATCGTAGGGGACGCTTGGTGCGCCTTCTTGTTAAGTTTATGGAGAAACGACAGCGCACGAAGGCATGATCAGAGTCGGCACAGGTACTCCAGTACGAGCGGCAATCCCGGATGGAACCACGTCGTCTGTAACTTACGGCTATGTGGTGAATTTGGGTCCATCGCTGGCCAGCTACAGGAGGACGCCAGGTGGCACTTCAGCGCACACTGTGTCTAAAAGCAGTGCTAGTAAGAAACAACTGGTGCTCCGCACACAGTTGCAGCAGACGCCCACCGTTGTTGGTCCGTTCGGAGTTAAGCCCACAATTACCACCCAGCTGCGCTTCTGAAGAGCTCAGACGCCCTACTTGTGCGTTCATATCCCCTGCAAGTACTATAATATCTGAACTAGTAGTACTGCGTAGCAGCGTGTTCAGTTCGTGATAGAAAGTGTCCTTGACTGCATTAGAACTGCAGTCGGTGGGAGCATAAGCAGAAATCACAAACAAACAGCGTTTTGTTTTACTTCGCGAATTCACCTTAGCTGATGTCGTCAAACGGGCTGCACATAAACGGCTGTTCACCGGAATCCAATCAACCAACGATGACTCAGCCTTGGAGCTTAGAGTGATACCTACACCAGCTTGACCCGTGAGTGCCGCATCGGCGTCTCCGGATGCGTTCAACCAATAATGAGAGGATAAACCGGGTGCAGTCAACTCAATAACTCCGTTAGCGTCATTAATCCTAGTTTCGGACACACAGCACACATCAACACCCAGTGTATCCAAAGTGCGTGCGAGTGCAGCCTGCTGACCTGTTTGTCTTAGAGTGCGAACGTTGAATGTCGCCATGGAAACGGGACAGCGTGGCCTTATACGGGACTTTTGCCAATAGGCGTCCGATAGGTGCTGTGGGATGGTGGCTGCAGACGGTACTACTCCAGTAGCACTTCGGTTGCTGTCAGTTAAGCTGGGAATTATAGAAGGAAGGTTAGTAATAGGGGCCGGGATGGGAGTAAGAGAAACAGGTGGAAAAGAAAGAAGGGAGGCGCCAGCAGTAGCATGTTTTCGCTTATCCGCCCTGCTGTATGCAGCAGATAAGGCGACCCTTGATAATCTACTCGACGGCCGATGCAGGATGAAGTTTATGTTTGAAGAAAATGTCATGGTTGTATGTGGGCTGGGATACTGCCAGGGGGCCCAGACCTAGACAGGAGGACGATTAGGGTCCTCATCCAAAGTCTTTGGCTCAAAGCCTGTCCGCAAGGCAGCGGGGTGGCAGTGATTTAGTTTAAGAGAAATGGATGCCATCACATTTCAAACCCCCAACCTGGAGGACCAGGAGACTGAGTTTGTCTGACCTCTCACCATTGACCAACCTGGTGGGTGTAGCTCTCAAGATGCTCGGAGGCATCACCCAGTATAGCTCAATGGGTCATTGAGGTACGCAAACCGTCGCACCACGTTAAGGTTCAGTCTCGTTGCGGCTTGCTGTCCAAACTGCATGAGTGTCCGAAGGTTGAAGCACGCCAGACGGGACGAGGTTCGGGGACGAAGGAGGGCCATTGGTTGACCTTTTTGGTCTGCGGCGCAACCGGAATCGCAGCAGGTTGTTGAGCACATGAATCGGGTGACGGAAGGTGAGGATTGTTAGCAAACAAACAATTGGCGTATGATGAAGTCGCGTGAAAGTGACTAGCAGAAACAGTAGCTGATGAGCACATTGTAATACAGTCCATGGTTTTGTGACAGGGCGTGATACTACCTGGTTGCCCAAGCCGAAGTAGGGAGTTGACTTAGGGGACTCCACCCCGAGCCTTTGGTTAAATAACCTACCCGCAAGGTAGCGGCGCCGACAAGCAGTATGATCACAGAAAGGTTGCCGATCGCCTCAAGAGCAACGATCCAGCTTCGTGGACTGCTGTCGAGAACTGGCAGGGTCGCCAAATATGAAATGTGCGTCCATAAGAGAATTCCGAGGACTTCCGTGTCCAATTCGTGAGTAGGTGATAATGGACCTAAGAACAAGTACAAATTCTCACGTTCACTCCATTTCCGTCTCATCCCGGGCTAAGCTAACGCCATCTCGTCAGCGCAAATCCGTTCGATTGGCCAGCGTTCCAAGCCGTTACCGTATGCGTGCTCCAACCGTGCCAGTGACAATCTTATCAGGCGTTCCCTCAATCATACTGGCCGATCCACGCTTACCGAGTACATGGTTACCTTGAGCCTCACTGTTCTATCACGGATAGACTGCACAGTGGCGTGTGACTGGCCTTCCGTCCATTTAACCGATGGTCCCACGATTGGCTATCTGCCACAGCTGAGTGTTTTGGTAACATGAAGTCGGGCGTAAGCCATCCGCTCACCGAACGGCCGACTAATCCGCTTTTCCGTTTTCCTAAGGCCTGCTATCTCTCCATTGCACTGGACCGAATGCGTTCTACGTGATTAGTTCTCATGAGTAGCGTCTAACTGGTCATTCGTCTAATCGGTTGATGCTTCCGCGGTTGACCATTTACCACAGCTTCTAATAGGTTACCTTGTGTTGGTGACGGAGCTCAGAGTATACAATTCTTGCTTAGCTGTTTGGTGATTAGAGCATCTAAGTAGAGTATGTGCTTGTCCTCCTCGAAGTATAGACCGCTGCTCAGAGAATAGAACTCACTCCTTTCTACCAGTAACACCATTCGTATAGACGTTTCTCTCCGTATCGCCAATACCAAGTGTGCGTTTGTCGATGTGATACATTCTTTGTTTTGTCTAGACTTATACTTCTCAATAAAAGGCCAAATTCACGGTGCCTCTGTCTGAACGGTGTTGTATGGAAGCAATCACTCCCCAATCTTCAGCGAGGAGGATCTTCAATTAGTCAGACTCATAGCCATCAAGTTGTTCGGCAGGAACGTTTCTGATTGCAGTGAAATATAGCATACAGTTAGTTTGTCGGGTTACAGAAACTTTCAGGATATCAGTTTTTTATGGTTCAGTTTAATTACTATATGCATGTGTGATTTCAGTAAAATTATAGATCTAGCTACCGTTTTTATCTTTTTCCACATGATTTCCATTGTCCCGCGTACCTTTCGTAAGCGTAAGCTTTTGCTAATAACCAACCTGTCGCATTTGAATGGTTTTCCAATGAACTATGCTATATTTCCCACAAACTTCTGTTCTCATTTTCTGCCGCTGTTTCTCTTAGTCGCGTGGTCCTTGCTCCGTGACATAATCAGTTTGCCATTCCCACTTGCTACTTCTGTTCAGGTCAGAGTACCCAACAGAAAGGATAAGCGCTTCAGTGTGTTGCGCTTTCACGCAGTAGACCATCCAGACCTTTCCTCAGGAATTGAAGTTTTCATGCAAAGGGAGAACAACTTGAAACTTTTCCGGGCTGCACATAACATCACTGATGCACCGGAACGTGGAGCGGGCAGTGAGTTCGGTCGTGAGATGAAGGAGGAGGCTCGGTTGAAGAAGTATGGCATCGTACGTGAAAACTACCGTCCCGACGACCAGCCGTGGCTCATGACGGTTGGCAAAGGTAAAACTGGACGACGCCGTTTCAGAGGGGTACGGGAAGGCAGCGTCTCAGAAAACGTTGAATATTTCGTATTTTGCCAGTGCAAAGATGGTAATTTTGACGCCTATCCCATTCATGCTTGGTGAGTGTACATCGTTTGCTACCCGAACCTGATACCTCATTGTTTAATCTATTTGCTTCTTTCCTCGCATAAGTCACTTGTCTACGCTGCGAGCACGCACCGGCATAATGTTTGATGGTTTTATATTCATCTCCCTACGTTCTCTGATTTTCTCGACCAACTGACGAACGTCCATTAGTTCCGCTAACCACAGTTTGTTTCTTTTTTCATACCGATGAAAGTCACCTTAGCATTCAGTCATGTATAGCTCCGAGCTTATCGTGTCCTCCCAAGTTGTTCAGTTCAGTTCTTTAACCATGCCCGTCACGCCAAACCTCTACTGCTACCTTTTTGACTACTACTCATGAGTACGGGCTCTTGAAATCATTTTATTGGAAGTTCATCACAATAGGCCCTAAGTCGGGCAGTCATTCACATCCTGGAAAATTACCATGCAGCCATTTGTTCTACTGAGTCGTCCGTGCTACGCGTTCCACAGCTCCATCAGGAACAGAAACCTTGGTCTATGAGCTCATGACAAGTGGTGCAGGTTGCTAGTGTCGAGATGTGTCGTGGCTTCGATTCCTGTTAGAGCTATTCAAGCCTTGTGGATGATTATCTGACTTAGAGGACACTATACGCAGTAAACATCTATGCGCGTAATCAATAAAGGATGAAACAAAACTGCACGCGCACGTACACAGAAAGGGGACCTGCTGTATCGTCAAACGTCTGCGGTGACGTAAACTGCAGAGATTGTGGCTTAGGAGAATTTTACACATTACAAAAATTTCGCTACGTATACATCATTATTTGAACAAACGAGTCGTTCGGCGACCATCGCACAGTAAACCTTCACATGGTCGAGTTATGGTGGTTTTGGCGGCCAGTGTCTGAAAGCATCACACGCCTGCGTCACTGGTTGGATTCTGCGCAGGGAACCGGGCAACCCTCGCTCTATCCTTAGTCCGCGCTTGACTTCTGGTTGTTGCGTAGCAGCGAAGCGTCGATACTGCGTATCGGCGTACTGCTGATGCATATTTTATAGCGGTTCTGTTGATCATGACTTTTATCGTCCAAATGGTCGACAAACAACTTACAGAAGTGGTTAATATACAAAGTTTTCTTTTCATGGGGTTTGCAAGGTGAACGTTCTAGATTTGAAAAAATTCGGCCAACTTAGTGAGGTGGTCAGGGTATAGAGGCGGTCAACTTCGGAGATTTTACTGCATCCAACTAAGTGAACATAGCCGGCGCTTTAATGGGTGTTCTGTGGTGTTGAAACCAACTGGTACCTTATTAATGAGTAGTGGGATTTTGGTATAATTTCAGAGGTAATCCATCGCAATCCACTCTCGATCAGCAGGCTTTGACACGTCTGGAAAAGCACCAGACAGACACCCATGTCTACGTGGCCTTAGCTGCTGATATCCGGAAGCCACGGGATCGGAACCCGTCATGGGTCCGATGGAAAGCACACCACAGATTAGACCCAGAAGGGCGAAATAGGGATGTCTAGTGCTTTTCCAGACGTGTCAAAACCTGCTGACCGAGTATGGATTGCGATGATTACCTCTGAAATTATACCAGGATTACTGCTACTCATTAGTAATCCGAAAATCCGTCCGTATAGATTCTAAGTGCTGTGTCGTACACACTCACTATACGGAAAGTCCTAGCTCCTGTGGAGCCAACTACTGTCCTTTGCACAGCTCGTAACTGGCATAGCAGTGTAGGATGAGCCGGGCTGTCAGCTGTCAGTCAAGCAGGTCAGCATCCGTTACCCATGGCTAAGTTGCATTAGCTGCTGGCATCTGGAAGTCATGTAGTCGGAACCCGGCAGGGATCCGAGGAAGGCACACCAAAAGGTCGAAATAGCGCTGTCTAGCGCTTTTCCAGACATGTCAAGGCCCGCTGACCTAAAGTGGACTGCGGTCGATTACCTCTGAACTAATACATTGTCATGTCAAATGTTTTCTTCTTATGCGACTTGATCCTTTTCTTCGTCGTTGTTGAAGGTTTTGAGTTGGGAATCCTCTACTTTTGACATCCTTTAGGAAATGCGTTGTAAATTAATGTCGTTAACAAATGATCCTTTTCTTTATGTTCTCTTTCTGAAGTATTACTGCGGTTAAATAGATCCCACACTTAGCCTTTTCATTATACGATTGTTGTTGGAGTTTAGGCTTTGATCGGTGTGCGCGTCTATTCCTTAAACAGTTTGTAGCTTTTGGTCCAATCTCCTGGTGGCTAACATCTCATGCACGGGAGTTTGCTTTCATCATCATCAATAACAACAGCAGTGCATCAGGCATTTGAACTGATGCTTCGCTGCCATATAACCATGAGGACCTATGAAATAAAGAATAAGAAGAGGGAGAGAAGGGGGACTTACCGGAAAACCTTAATGCCCTAAGCAAACATTCTGGGTCAAGGCGTCTACACCTTGTGTAGACAACATACCGTCACAAACAGCTGGCTATCGTGCAAAGATAAGGCGGCATCGGCGAGACAGCTTCCTTGCGGTTTTTGTTGCCACGCGTCATAATCAGCCATTACCCCGCAGATAACTCAGCACCAAACACACTTGAAACAGACAATCCGATTAGGAGACGGCAGCAGACGCGCCACTGGTGTCTACTGCAAGCCATGTGCTGTAAAGTCTCGAGCCAAGCACAAGGCGAGTCACGTGGACTCCAGCCCGGAGGGCGAGACGGACCAACGGTACCTAGTTTGGTAGTCAGTGACTTCATTTCCCGCTGCCAAGTCAACTTCTATCCACCTCGAGCCTTGCGCCATCCTACACCTGGTAGACTGAACAAGGCACTCCTAGGTAAGCGGTGACCAGGCATGCGTAGCACGTGCCCGAGCCAACGCAACTTATTCAGTGCTACCTGTTGTTCTAGGGAGCTGGCATGATTATCACCACCTAGTACTCGCCTACGCACATCATCGTTGCAGACACGCTAGTGCCATCCGACACCAGCAATGCTTCGCAGACAACGATAATCAAAGACTTGAAGGCGCCTCAGATCTTCAGACCGAAGGGGCCAAGTCTCATTACCATAGAGCAGAACGGCCCTCACTGTGGCCTTGTATACCCGGCCTTTCAGACGGAGGGAAACTCCCTTCTGTCGCCAAAGATGCCGCAGGTTCAAGAAGGTAGCTCTGGCTTTTGCAGTGCCTGAGCTGACGTCAGTTTCTATGCGCCCATCATTGCTGATGCACCTGTCAAGATAAGTGAATTGAGCAACCACCTCGAGTTCCTCGTTAGCAAGGGTCACGGGGTCATCAAGTGGCTGGTGGTCCTGCGGCAACGCTGCACTTTGAAGGTGCGAAGTGCATACCAAATGACGGACCACTCTAGACAGGCTATTCAGGGTTGATCGTGCCACCGCAGCATCGTTGATAAGCAACACGACATCGTCCGCATAATCTAGATCAACTAACCTTTCACCAGGCAGCACTTCAACGCCTACATCGTGAGATTCCGCATGGGAACACTCCATGATAGAATCCACGAGGAAAGTGAACAAAAATGGAGAAATTAGACAACCCTGACGAACGCCACTTGTGGTCGGAAAGCTATCCGATAGGCCACCGTAGATCCTGACGCGGCCTGTAATGTTCGAGTAAAGAGCACGTAGGATGTTCACATATTTCGTAGGAACACCTTTCCGCCCAAGTATTTCGAACAGAATCGATCGATCGACTGAATCAAACGCACTCTTGAAATCGAGAAACACAGCGGTATGCGTGGCGCTGCTCTAGCACCTACCACAGAGTGAATGTATGGTCTATACAGCCACGTCCTGAGCGAAGACCTGCCTGACTCACAGTCTGTGTG